AGAGAGAGAGAGAGAGGAAAAGCGTGACGGGATACGAAGGGGGCGGGAAACAAGTTGGACGACCCGAGGTCTTGTACACCGCATTTTTCCCCCCTTTCATTTGTGATTTCCTCTTTTCCAAGCAGAATTGTACATTCACTGCAGACTTTCTTAACAAACACCGGTGTGAATCGCACACGCGCACACACACACACACACACACACACACGAAAAAAAAACAAATTTCTTATCCAAACGCTTACACTCTCGGAGTGGCAGTAGCCCTCCTCAATTGAGCTGCGCGCTCAGAGGAACCCACCGCGGGCATTTCGTACAAAGAGGAACCACCTACCCCGCCCGTCACACGTCTACGGAATGGAATTATCGATTTTCTTGCAAAAATTCTGTCTTCAAAAGCGGCGTTTCACGCTCACATCGCACGTCGCCGAAGCTTTCAATTGAGTCCTTCGTTCGAAAGAGAAGTGCGCGAATACACCGCAACCGGACGAGCTACACTCTAGAATAGGAAGAACGGTTTGCCGTAAACAGCGAAGAATGTGGAACGTAGACCACGCTACTTACTTAAGCAGACCTACACTTGAAACGAGACGTCGACGAGAATGGTATACTAGTCGATGTCCTCCACTTCCGGTCTCCGTTCCAATTTCAAATCGACCGCTTTCCAAACTCCGATGACCATGTCGTTAAATTAAACGAAACGATATGTTTCTGTCATAAACCGTCGAGGGATCACTCCAAATGGAATATCCAAATGGAGTATATAAGTAATAACGTAACGTCTTATAATCACCACGATATAGAGTAGTAAAATTACTAGAGGAAGATTATAAATGCACAGCTATGTAACGCGAAATCACTGGATATTGGTAGTAGCTTCCACAACGAAAGGCACATTGATGCATTTCGCCGATATAACGTTCGGACATGCAGTGTTGTAACATGCATAAATATGAATATGTGCTGGGATTGCTATATACCGTCTGTTCTATTTTCTGAATAGGACTCGAAGTAGATGTCGAGAACTTGTCACTCCGTGATTTATACATTTGTCCCTGCCGGAGGACGAGATCGTTCTCCATTCTCCCCCTTCTACGTGTCTCTTAAGCCTGTCAGGTCATACCGAGTTCCAATACGGGCGAGAGAGAGAGAGAGAGAGAGAGAGAGGGGGAGGAGAGCCTTTTTCGCTGAGCGAAATAGAAGAGAAGAAAAAAAAAAGAAAGGCAACTATATCCTACGAAGCTAGATTCTCAAGGATAGAGCTATCCAAGGTTGTCAAGAGTGGAAAGATTCGATCGTTGGTCGCATCTCGAAGCCAAGTTCGCGGCAGGATGCTCCGAGCGTGTCTAGTTAACTTATTGGAGCGGAACTTATCTTCGAAATTATGCAAGCTATAATCATATCTTGATGTTTTTAACGGAACAACTATGATGTAAATCATCTGGATGGCGAGATAGATGGAATATAAAAAACAATCACGTACATCGAAAATATTAGTTAAAGAAACGAATGATCGGTAACGA